AAAAAATCTATTCGTGAATATTTAATTTCACCAGTACAGCAGGAGGTGTCAGGCAGCTACAGACCTATGAGATGTAGACTTTAGGATTTTGGGCAAACATTCAGCTAAGGTCACCGAAGAAAGAAAAAGAGTTGGGAAAAACCTGTAGAAGTTCAACCTGCTCTGAGAAAATAAAGTTGCTGTTCAAGTAGCAACCTTTAAACACCCCATGGTGTTTCTTCAAAGTTTCCAAAGTGTGGATGCATTGTTTCTTTTAAGAAGGCTTTTCCTGCAGCAGCATTTTCCCAAGTGTTTCCTCTGTACATAGTTTCTGAGCAATTAGAATGAACAGCAGAGAAGAGGTCAGCAAAATGCAATCGGACACTTATATCCAGTGCTCAGAATAGCCCAGCCCTAACTTGGCCCCTCCCTTCACATCCGATAGGTTTTCATTCACTCCTTCTCGGCAATTACAGCAATTACGGTTTTTGACCATTGTAATTACTAACAAATGTCTACAGGTCCCACTTTTTCTTTAGAAAACTAACCCCTCCAGTAGATCATTATAATATCCTCTAGCAAAAAATAGGTTTAGGTCATTATGATTTCATGTCTGTAAAATGTTGAGGTCCTGACCTCCAAAAAGACAAAGCCACCATTTCTTCATTTTAGTCTCTCTCTTCAAAAGATAGAGCAGAAAACAATGAAAGAGCAGTAAGCAAAGGTGTTTTAGGGGCTTCTTTTTCTTGTCAACACAAATATGCAAGCAATATAAAAATGACAGTGACCGCTGTAAAATCAAACTGAAAGTAATACCAAGGATAAAAGTAAAGACTACCATCTCATTTGACTGAGTTCTAAGAGAACCAAACTTCTAACAAAAATGTTAAAAAATTTAAAGAAAGATGTAACAGGATTATATAAAGTAATTCTGCATATGCTTTATTTAGTTTATATTATATATTCATTTATTCATTCTTTCTTTTAACAAATATTTAGTGAGTATCTACTCTGCCCCAAACCCTGTCCTACTTTACTTTTTTTTTCCTCAAAAGCCGTCTTTTAAATTCCATGATTTGCAACAATATTCTCTTAGTGACCACCAGTAGACACAGGAATTATTCTTCCATTTGACAGATGGGAGCATACTTCTGGTTGTACTCAGTTCTGAAGAGAAGAGGGAAACAACCACAATATACCATAACAGCTTTAAGAGAGGACCAGCAAGCTTCAGAATTGGAGACACTTTGTAGCCCACATTGTCCTGCTGTACTTTATGTTTCCTGAGGTCCTGGTTGGACTTGATGTTAAGAAGAGGCCCCTCCTCATGAAATCAGAGTTGCCAAGACTGCTGGGGAGTTACCTACCCTTGCAGAGCCAAGGCCTTATCTCAAAGGATAAGGTGGAGTTTGCTCTTTTCCCCTATTGCGAAATGTGAGAATATTAAGTAATCTGTTTATATCATACAGATCCAAAACTCAAACTGACTTTTTAAAGAATAAAACATCCATAGGATTTCCTCCTGTTTGGAAAAGGCTACCTGGGACACTTGCTTTCTATCTAAATCTTGGATCACCCAACAAAATCTGACAATTTCCCTTGCCTGCTTGAAATATTCCTTGGGGTCAACATTTCTGGGTCATTCTGGCAATGTCAATTTATAACCTACAGACCAATTTTGTAGAAGAATAGCAGTAGAAGCTGGGGCCTTTTGGTACAGAAATAAATACATATCTGGAGTGCTAAAAGTTTCAATCCATGCTCAAAATGTTACCTTTAAAAAAAAATCAGATAGTATAAGGTAACCAATACAAGATCTAAAAGCTTCAATTTATTTTAAAGATTAAAATTGAAACTTGATTTCCTTTTTAGAGAATGTAGCTCTAAGCCATTAACATAGGAGGAAAATTATGTGAAAACAAGGTTTAGGTCTTTATATATATACCACAGAGATAAATTCATTATTTAAACAAAAGATGACTCCTCTTCTGACTCACTCTATTCTTAGTGAGTTTCGCAGCTGATGGTTTTCTATTGAGTTTTTAAAAGGTGGATTAAGTGTCATGCCACCCACTGAGAGTAAAGTTGAAGGAGGTGAACTGAGGGTGTGGTTTGAAGTCTCTGGCTCTCTCCCTTCCTCAGGACTACACAGGATTAGAAGGAACTAGAAGAGAGCATCTGGCTCTTCTAGAGTTCAGGCTGAGCTGAATCCAGTCATCCCAAATTTAAGGACCCCTAAGAACTATTTTTTTAATGTTTTTACTAGTATATAATAATTGTATAGGTAGTTTCATTGTGACATTACCATGCATGGACATTTCAAAGTAACTAGAACTATTGGGCCTTACACCCTAATAATCACTTACTGGGAATACATTACTTGTGCAAATTACTGCAAAAAATTAAGTTTTATTTTATATTTACTTTTGCCTAGTGTGTGACAATATACTTTAAACATGTTTATCCTAGAAGCTACAGAAATAACTTCTTGGATAAAAGGAAACATAATTGATAATATACATGGTAAGGTGCTTCTTATCTTTCAAATGGAGTATTTACTTGTGCCAAAAATGTTATCTTTTGAGAAGCTGAGTTTCTGGTACATTTTTCTTTCCTACGTTTATATCATTCTCTATGCAATTAAAAACATGAGATGGACTCAAGTTGTTGAGAAAAACATTCCCCTTAAAATGTGAATCTTATTAGAAGCCTCAACAATCAAATAATCTATTTCTTCACTCTCAGCCATTGGAACCATAGATGTGGTTCCACCAACGTTAACTTATGCCATTTCAACATCTCTGCAACATCACCTAGAGCTATTATAAAATTTAAGTCCTCCAACTATTGGTGGAAGGTGCTGCCATCCAATGAAGCCAGGCAAAAAAAGGGGAGAATCGAGTGGATGAGCAGTGAATTAGAGACAAACAGTTCCTAACTCTAGTTTCAAGACTTCTGCTGTAGGAGTGCCTCTGCTGTTTGGAGGTTCTGCACTAAATACACCATAAGCAACCATTATCCTAAAATGGCCCCAGGATTCAGCAACAGGCAATTGAGCATGCCTTGAAAGAAATGCAATCAGCTCAGGCACCAATAAACCTGAAAGACAATAACTTTAACAAGAAGATCTTAAGTATGGGAAATGCACAAAACCCATGTGTGGAGTTTCATCACCACAAAGCCAACACATTTCTTAAATTTTGTAGGTATTTCTACCATCTTGGTTTGTCCTTTAGTTTCTCAAAAAAAAAAAAAAAAAAGCCTTGCTACAGATTTGTGTGATTTACATTAATTTTGTTCTTAAAAATCAAATGAAAAGACTGGCAGAGTGGCTAAAGTGGTAGAACACCTGCCTAGCAAACATGAGGTCCTGAGTTCAAACCCCAGTCCCACCAAAAAAAAAAAAAAGAAAAGAAAATCAGGTAAATAAATCAGGATATTTACTTTTAGCAATCAAAGCTTTAAAAAACATTGCAGGAGTATGCTGTCAATCCTACAGACATTACAGACTCAAGATTTACATCTCCTGTGAATTTAGCTAGGATCTTATTCTTGAAGAAAAGCACATACCCACAGTACATCCCATTCCAAAATAGTTTCCACTTTAAATGTTCTAAAACTATAAGACATTCACTCAATTTACATTATTTCTCACATCCATATGCTATCACTTTAATGATTTTATCTCTTCTTTGACAGCAGGGGACAGTGACAGAGTCACAGCAGTGAAGATTTAGCATCACAGATTACAAGACTCTTGAGAAAAAAAAGTTTTACTATTCTGCCTTCACCAACTTGACATTTTCCCACAGTCATGTTGTAAAAATGCAAGGAACCCATAAAACAATATGAAAGAAAATACTGTAGTTTCTGTTTTCCTAAGAAACTTAGGCATCAAATTCTTATTAGTCAGTCACAAGAGCATAAATGTGGGAAGAACAGGGAGGGCACCAACCCTCCACACTACACAGGTACAAGAAACTCACTAGAGAAACATAAGAAACAGACTGAGGCTGTTCCAGGTAGCACAGGAGCATCACTCACCCTGGACCCAGTGTTCTGTGTGCTTGAAGAATCGTTTCAGAATATATGATACCTAACCTCTTTTTCTCAACCCCACGATCCCTCCTCCAAGATTTTGGGAAGCATTAAATGCTACCAAGATGACACCAGACTCGTGTCTCCAAAACACATATGAACTGACTTTGATGGGTTGAACTGATCACATGGCTGATCTCCAGATTACATTTAACTTTGAGTACTACCTATAACCCTGATTATTTTATAAAATTTCATTATAAATATCCATAATAGCTTTTATCTATGATGCCTTGCCTTCTCACTATCGAGTAAGTAGCACTAGTCCTACATTATTGATAATTCAATAGAAAGAGAATGAAATACACAGTAAAACATCATAGCAGCAGATAAAAATATAACTCTTCTCCAGTTTTTAACAGGTACCAGGGAACATTAAGTGAGAAAGGTCCAAGAGATTTGTTTCAGTCAAAACTGCTTGTCCATCTTTTCCTAACTAAGATTCATCCATGGTTAGTAGTCTTACTATCTCATCTTAGACCCATTTCTCCTACAATTTTACCATTCTCCTTTGGCAACATCTCTTTCTCTCTCTGCAAGCTATTAAAGCAAGAATATTAGAAGGTGCTGCCAAATATATTTATATAAATCTAGCAGCTTTCTAGAATCAGTAACTGGAAAGTGATTAATATTATCTAGCAAAATATTTTTGATGGAGAGGCAGAGTTAACATAGGCATCAGTTTAAAATAAGAATTTCTTTAAAAACCAGGTAAGACCATACCAACTCAGATTCTGAGGGTCCAATAAAGTTCCTAAAATTACTTTCTGTGTTGAAGCAAAATGTAGAGATTAAAGAAACTCCACAGATAAGCTTTGAGTTGTAAGTCCAAAAATGTAAAACTATATGAAATGTATGAATGCTATTACCTACAGAGACGTATATATAGGAATATATACTTTCCCAGACCCAAAAAAGCTCACCTTCTACTTCTTCTTCATCACACACATGCTTAAGGAAGGAAGCCCCTCTGTCCAGGACAGCTTCATCCTCCATCCTATAGTAATAAAAAAGAAAAAAAGAATGCTCAGACTTCTCCTGGAGTGAGCCACTTGAAGCAGCCCAGCTTCTGGGCAGGTTAACCTGCAAGCTGTTGCTCATGTTCATAGGGCAAAATCACTCTTCCTTTGGTGGCTGCTACTCCTTCATGCAGCTCTTCTCATCTGGTGCTTGACAGTGTGCCGGTCCCACATAGCTTCAGTTCTAACCTTGAGAGGGCACCCACATGAACAGGTAAGAGAAAAAAATCCCAATCCTATAGGCTGGATGTTGGGGAGCTGTCCCCTTTTGGGGTTTGCAAAAAAGAAAAAGAGGAAAAAAGATGAAAGCAAAAAAAAATACCAAGAGAGGAAGTTTGGTGTGTCTGGAGTGCTCGTGATGATCGTTTGTGGAAATCCAGTCTCAGTGCTTAGCTCTTTAAATACCCACTGAACAAAATGTATACCCGCACACACACATGCACACCCACCCACATGCCGAGAGCGACAGAGAGTTAGGCTAATGCACACTGGGAGCCTAGCTTCCAGCCAGCCTCTTAATACAGCACAGCCCAGTATTCTCTGTTGAGTGGCAAGCTTCGAGTCACATGTTGGCCTTACGGAAATCTGACATCTGAGGATTATCCAGCAGCCCAGTGTCGGCAATAGGCACATATATATGCCACCCATTCATTCATTTTCCACATTTTTCTCAAACATCCCTCATTATGCATATGTGCCCTGTTAACTCTTCCCTGAAGGGCACAAAGTTCTTCATTTTGTAACCATATTATGCTGTCCTCCTGTCTCCTTACATAATAGGATCTACTCTGCAATTTCATATGCTAAATAAGACCTCAGAATCTATCCAAGGAATGGCAGAGTTTTTACAGCTTCCCGATGCCAAGAATGTTTCTAGTTTATAGAATGAGTTAAGGTTTATTTCCATACTCTGTGGCTCCTTTTCATTGCATTAACTTTGATATACAGAATTCCATGAACTCTATTTATAGTGAAAGCAGGAAGAAATCCTGAATTGCTCAAATGTTGCTTGTATAGTACCAGTCTAGAAACAAAGAACTTTCTCTGGGGACAGCTGCTCTATGTCATACCGTACATGAGTCCTGCCAGAGAACCAAATGTTCACTCTGTATTCCATTCATCCAATTACATGCTTAGGTATTGAATTTGTAAGTCTGTTTTCCCTATCGTCTATATAACTTATTCTTGAGATTCAGATATTTGTTGTAATCTATGTGGAAGTGCACTAAACTCATATTTTCCTCTTTACTATTTTAGGATCATATTCATCTCACAGAACAACCATCTTAGCATAAAAAGTGAGAAATCTGGTATCAGGTAGCCTTGGGTTTAAAAAAAAAAAATCTAGCTTTACCACTTAGTAGCCATGCCATCTTGGAGCAAAGTACCTAACTTTCTGAGCCTCAGTTTTTCTATGCATAAAACCTGGGCAATAATCTCTATGTCACATTGGTTCAACACAATAATATGAACCTGTGTTGACTGCTTTGAAATGCAAATTAGGTAACATACCTAAGAGCACTCAGCCCAGGACCTAGGGCATGCTACACTGTCTTATAAGTACAAGTTGCCTTCCTTCTTTTCTTCTTTCTTTTTCATTCTGACCAACCAGTGGTGGACAATACCACTAAGAAACTCTGGACACTCGTGAGATTTCTTCTTTCAAGGATATGGGCTTTGTATGCAAAGGCTCTATACTCAAACTAAATACGTAAAACAGGATATGGGTCAGGCTTTAGGATTACAGCAGAAAAGAAAATGCCTTAAAGACAAGAAGTCAAGTCATTTACCAATCTCTCTGAGCTCAGGTCCCCATGAAGATTAAATGATACAGAATATTCATGCAAATATTTATTTACTACCTACCAACTTCCTGGCACTCATGGGAATGAGGGGGAATGCATCTGTGAATAAGAGAAAAGGTTCCTAAAAACCTAATAATGAATGGATGAACAAGGTAAACTCAGCGTTAAGGGCTTTGCAGAAAGCAAGAGGCAGGGTGCTACTTGACACAGGGTGGTAGTGATGAGGCTTCTGAGGAGAAGACCTTTGATTAGAGAAGGAAGCAGCATTCCAAGCAAAGAGAATAGCAAGTGCAAAGGCCCTACGGTGGGAACCAGCTCAGCATGTTCCAGGAACAGAAACAAGGTCAGCATGGCTGGACAAGAGACAGAAGTTCAGCCACAGAAGATAGTATCTGAGAACACTTGATTCATGAAGGCTTTGATAAGGAATCAGAATCTTAGATGTTATAGGAGCCACTGATGACTTTTAAGATGGAGAGTGTTGTAAGCTACTTTACTTTGTTATTGTTGCTTTTTTTTCTTTTTAATTGTCGGGGGTTGACTCCATAGCCTTGTGCATGCTTGGCAAGCCACACCCCAGGCCTTTCATTTGTATTTTGTTTTCTTGAGATGGAGTCTCACTAATTTTGCCCAGGATGGCATCCAACTTGCAATCCTCCTTCCTCCACCTCCTGAGAAGCTAGGATTGTAAGTGTGTGCCATCATGCTCAGCTGCTGTTTTCCCTTTTTAAAAGATTACTCTGGTTGCTATGTTAAAAAGTAGATAGCTAGAGGACAAATGAAACTAGGAAACTGTCATAAGAATCAAGGACAGACTATATGACAAACAGGTTTTTAAGTAAAGAAGAGTTCAATTTAGATACTTTAAGGCAGAGATGCTGTGTAAAAAAGTTGCTGTCAGGTGCACAACTAGATGCCTGAGTCTGCAGCTCAGTGGTTCATGGCAAGAGATAAGAAATAGGGAATCAATGGATAAAGCTGGTATTGAAGTTATTACAAGATGAGATCATCCAGGAAGAAAAAGGAAATACAGAGGAGACCTAAGACCAAGTGCTGAGGCACCAACATTTACAGGTAAAGCAGAGAAACACAGCCAGTCTGTGAGGTAAGGGAAAACAGACAAGACAGATGTCCAGGAAGTCATGAAAAGAGAAGAGCACTGCTACCAAGAGGCTAAGACACATGTAGATGGAGAAGCAAAACTTGGAGGACATTGGTAATCATAACCAAAGCACCCGAAACATGCCATACTCAGTGTCAGAGGGAAAAACATGGAGGACACTCAACAGTACCCTTTTCTCTTTCCTATCCTCCTCCAGTGATAAGGAGGGTTCATGTTAACTAGGTATGTACTATGTGCCAGACATACTTCAAGGCACCAGAGATACAGTGACAAGCAAGACAGACACAGGTTCTAGTAAATGACATCTAGCAATTGAGGACAGATGGTCCAAGGCACAAGAACCCATCAATACAGCATTAGTAGACACAGATAAGGAAAAGAGTTTAATTGGGAAATTTTCTTAAAAGACCTCAGAAGCACAACATCCTAAAGCTCTGCCCTACAATATGCACATTAATTGTCCTCTCTCCCCTGTAGTTTAGCTCATTTGTTCTCAGAACTAACCCTTTCCAGTCAGTCAGTATCTTGACTCCAACAAAGCTACACTTAGGACATCATTTTTGCACCCACCCATTAATCAAGCAGGTCCTAGAGTCTTTTGTTATCTCGTTACCTATTCCCTTTTGATGTCCAAAGTTGCATGCAACAACCAAGGGAAAGTAAAAGAAGGAAAACCAATAGCAACTGGAAAAAAAAACAGCAAAACCAATGCCACAAGTCCTCTTCTTAGGGCAGGAAAACCATTCAGTCTCACAGAAGCAATGGCACCACGGTCCATCTGAGCTAGAGAGTAACAATCATGATTGGTACCTACCTTGGCTCTTTGATACATATTTCACATTCCCTCTAAGACTACAGATAGCAAATCATCAGAAACGAAGTTCTTTCTGATGGACCATACAGTGCATCTGAAAGCAGTCTCTATTCTTCAGGAAGTTAAAAGGGGTGAGACAAACAAAATGTAAAACTTGCATACCCACAGTGACCATTCCCCAGAACAGCCCTCACTCTTCCTTGAGAGCAAGGCCAGCCCAATGTAACAGAGCTTCTACACAAACTACAGTGATTTCCCACCTTTCCATCGCAAATGTCAATTTTTTAGATCCATGTCACCCCAAATCCTTTCATCAGTTATTTCTTATTATTAAGACAGGCACCTCCTAAAATGACTGTCTGATCTAACCAGTTTCCCCTTCTATGAAGAAATAGGAAGAAATTTAACTCATCCAGTCCCTAACCAAGCCCCCAAATCCATCCTTAAAATGTTCTTTTCACACACCCTGCATTTGCTGAAAACAAAGAAGGGAAAAGGCACGCTTCTAAAAAGCTTCAGAGGTTGCTCACATCACCAACATGAGGCAAAGTTCAGAATAGATTTGGAAGCTTCTCACCAGCATCACGGGAATAAGGGTCACACCAGTCTATAAAATCCACTTGGGGCCAATACTGCCTTCCTTCAACAGGCCTCTGATGGTAGAAGTTATACCCCTTCTGCATAAGTCCACACCCACAGCAGGGCTTTTCTTATTCTCCATTATTTTGGGACAATAAAATGATTTAACTGTAACACATGTCAAGTAGGCTGCCAAAGGGACCAGCTTTCACCAGCCGGTCCTAATCACTGAGCAGGCTTGTGAGGGTGACTTAAGCCCAGCACGAGAAACATTTGTGCAAAACTGTCATCCACTGGGCCTTGCGCACCCATCTACATTCCACCCCTCCAAGTTCCCACCCCTAGACCTGCGCCAACTGCCAACGTGCTCACCAGCTAGTCCACGCAGTGCAAGCAGCTGCCACCCAGCCAGTCAGCAAGTGGCAGGCAGCCAGCACACAAGTTTCAAGAACGCAAGCCTGCACGTCACAGTGCTGGTAAAGGTTGAAGGTCTTTGGGAGTGCTAGCCTTTAGATTCGCCTCACTTGCCCTGCCACCTCCCTCCACCATCCCTCCTGTTATGCCTCCCACGTAGCATTTCACTTGTCTCTATGGTAACAGCATCTGGTTTCAGGGTTAGAACTTTATACAGCACTGTTCTCTTCTAGTCCAAAGCTTTTGCCAAAGCACTAGCAAAAACGTTGCTGCCTAAGGTGAAGCCACCTGCTTCCCGATCACCCCCAGGGTTGCAGCTAGGTTGTGAGATTTAAGATCATGGCAACTACACCACTGAGTTCCAAGGAAAGTGGAACAGAGCCTCTAAACTTGCTGTACCATCTAGTGTGTAAAGGATCAAGTCTGGGGCTTATAGTCCATGTCCAGAGCCACTGAACTACAAGGTTGCACATAGACCAGACTAATAGGGGGCTTTCTGACTGTTTCCAAAAAGGCACCAGGAACAGCACCCAAGGGAGCAGTATCACTCCAGTTTTCAACATGTCCCTACTAGAGTTTGACATCACTGGGTCATTTCATGTTTTCAACTCAAAATTCATTATTTAACCTGGCATCCTCATCCTAATTTATCCTCACTCACTTGATCTGTTTGCAACATCAAATGAACCCAATAATCTCTCATTT